AGCCGAATTATCTGCAGAGGTCTCCTCCTCTCCAAACCAAACAAACCAGGAGATTAAAACCAGTAAAATTACTGAGTAAAACAGTTTCATATTACAAATCAGTGTTTCTCCGATGCTGTTTGGCTTGTCACAGAGGGACTGCTAGCCTAGCACCTGCTAATGTGTGCTCGCCTTTTTTCTCTGATAACCTAAGATCCAAAAGTTCAGAAGGTTCTCACTAGTAGCCAAATTATCCACAGAGGTCTCTTCCTCTCCAAAACAAATGGACCAAGTGATTTAAACCGGAAAAAACACTGAATAAAGCAGTTTCATGTTACAAATCAGTGTTTTTCCGATGTTCTTTGGCTTGTCGTGGAGGGGCTGCTAACTACGGTGGTCAACGCAAAAACGCAAATGGCTCTATCAAGAGCCAGTGTTTGGTTTGTCTGTTCTGAGCTACTGTAGAAACATGACAGTGCAACATGGCAATCTCCATGGATGAGGACCTGCTTTCTATCCTAGATATAAACAGCTCATTCTAAGGTATTGAAAACACAACAATTCTTATTTTAGGTCATTATACACTAAAAAAAACATTATATTATATTCCATTTCTGCCAATATATCCCCCTCCTACCTTTACTAATGAATATGGAATTTCTAGGCACCTTTTATATACTGTATGTGGTTTTTTATACATTGGCTCAAACCTGTAATTGGGGGTTCAAACCTCTGGGTGGGGGAGCCCTTCTTTGCATGTTCTCCCCGTGTCAGTGTGGGTTTTCTCTGGTACACTGGCTTCCTCCCACAGCCCAAAGACATGCAGGTTAGGTTAATTGGTGACTCTAAATAACCTGTAGGTGTGAATGTGAGCGTGAATGGTTGTCTGTCTTTATGTGTCAGTCATGGCGACCTGTCCAGGGTGTACCCTGCCTCTCACCCAATGTCAGCTGGGATAGGCTTCAAAAACACAACATGGGAAAAAACGTATTACCAATTTTATCTGAGGTTAATGTTAGGCTTCATGAGTCAAATCAAGTGGGCAACCTCTAAAGTCAGTTTTTTTAGTACAAAATTTTCTTTTTATTTTACCATCCTTCCACTGAAAAAAATACCCACCTAGAATCTGTCCTCTAAGATCGATGATTCAGTTAATGAATACAATCACATACTGTACTCATGTACTGCCTCTTTAAGGCAGGAATTTCACGCCCCTATGGCAATGAGAGCCCCTTGCTGCGTCGCCTCTCATTGCTGAATCTCGGCCAAAAAGTTGTACATGAACACATCAAATCGACGGCCAACAAGCATGAATGTTCTGTGCCTGCCTGAGAGGAAATGACCCTCCATACCAGCAGATGGCAGTCTTCTGTTATCATCTTTCAAAAAGGGAAATCAGATGACCGTCTTAATGCTCATTAGTCAGTTAGCACATTAACAACACAATCCGGTGTTGAAAGAACATATACTGTGTGCCTGTGAATGATGACACAAACCATCAGGAAATGTTTCTATCAAAGAGCTCAATGGATAAAGAAAAACAATGTTACCTCATATAATAAGTTTGTTTTGACCTCACTTGCTCTCGACCTTAGCTCTTTGTTTACATTCTTCACTTCTGTTTCTCTTCTTGTGCGCTGAGCTGAACTGGCAATCAGAGTGATTTAATGTGGCGAAGGGCTTCACTGTGACAACTCAGATTTAACATGCTGAATTGGTGGAAAAAAGGCCAATTAGTGCCGACAAGGGCCAAGGGTGCGGGACACACCTCATGGACAAGGGGGGAAAGATGCTCACCAATGGCCCAACTTTGACTGACAGCTGACTGTCGGCTCAGTGTGTCGGGGCCTTAAAAGGTACACTCCTGGGATGGGGGGACATAGTTGTCTTGCCTTTAAGACAGCAGTAGAGATTGTAACAATACTGAAATGGTGTCTGTATTAAAGGGACAGCTGGCAGGACAGGACTATGGATGGCACACACCGACTCACCTTCAGGAGATTCAAAAAGCAGGTAGCAGCAGTTATCAGCCACCTTAAAGCAGAAGAACAGTGGCAGACAATGTCTGCAAATTGGGAAAACAATGAGGTCCAGGAGCCCCTTATGCATACAACAGATCAACTGCCATATACCAGGGACGGTAAATGTTATTGCCATGTAAATACCATTGTTATTGTTTGTTTGTCATGCCTCTTTTGCTTACGTAATGCATGCTGTCTAAACTCACACACTGGAGCAGTACGATGCCACCGTTGTTTGGTAGTGTGTAAAAATGCAAAGAAGGCATAAAGAAGCCACTTTGTAGCAGCTCTATAGCGCTATCTCTGTGTGAATGGGATTGTTTGTGTTACATGCAATTTCCCTTACAATGATAAAATAAAGTTTTGTTTTTATGGGGGGTTGGCTGCTTGATTGAATCTTTGATTGTGTTACATTGTGTACCATACTGATGTTATTACTGTTGTATAAATCATTTATGAACATGATGATGAGTGGTTAAGTATAACGACTTGCATGCAGATTTACTCCAGAATTCATTCATTTGTATTTATTCTTTAGCCAGAAGGTCCCACTGAGATACAAGATCTCTTCTTCCAGGGAATCCTAGTCATCGAGGATGAGACGTGTTGATTTGCTTCTGGGAATTTTGTGCCTCTGGCAAACCAATCAGTACACATACTGTACATCAGTGCACCTGGCCTAACACTGAGCTCACCGCATGTGCTTTTGATATCTGCACAGAAAGAATGCACAGCGATGAAATGACTGGAGCCAAAGTATTCCATCTCTCCTGTGAGAGAGAGGTGGATCCAGCACTGGACTGCACTGTTATTCACTGACATACAGTTGAAAACTGACTTGGGTGGACAAGGTTATTTAGTGCTGGGCAGCAGTTTTAGTGAAGTACGCAGAGCTGAACTGACTCCATATGGAGCGAGACTTCACTTTCATGCCCAGTGAACTGCAAGTTGAAGAGAAGATCTTCCAGGCCAAGTTTAAGTCAACCTATCTGCGTGTCTATGGTGGAAAAAGAACACTACCAAGTGATTTGGAGGAACACAAAGAGCCTGAAAAATTCTTTCTCTTGATCCAAAAGCCCAGACGTGGAAATCTGTCTTGAGAACAAACCAAAGACAACCTTAAACAGGAGAGGTTTGATGCCTATTAAAAAATCGGTCTTCAATCCAGGCTGAGCACGGAATGATCAGAAACTGCAGCCTCTGACCTTTGACCCTTTGCTATCATCACAATGCAAAAACCTTGCTTTGCTCCAAAAGCAATGGTACCTAGATATGTGACTTATAGTAGTTTGACCCCTCCCAACCCATCTTATCCAAACTAATTTTCTTAATTCCTTGATAGCTGACTCTCTGGAGATATGAGGTTTACAGCAAGATGACATATGATCCAAACATACTCGAGCAGAAGAAAATTCTGGCTTTATCCAATACTTCTTTGATAGTAATCCAAAGTTAATGAGTTACAGCCTTTGGCCACTATTAAAAAATGTGGGTTTCTTGGCCAGTCTAGGCGTAACAGGTCCAAAGATCTCTCCATTAATAACGAAGAAGGTTATATAGTCCAAATGGATGAAGCTGGAGCCACATATTTCCCTTGCATCAACACAAGGTGATAAGAATTCTGTTGCAACAAGGATAGAAATACCCAGAGATTTTTTGTTTTGGGGGGGGGACTATATCTGTATTTTTCTTTATTGACAATTTCTTACTTTCTTTCTTATCCATCCAAACTTGTCTGGACCCCCTACTGTGATTTGGATGGCAGAACTCCATGTTAGAACTTCACGTAGGATGCCTGACAGAGAGTACCCTGCGTTACACTCCCCTTGGTGGAGTTGCCTGTTTCTTAGACAAGAGGAAGAAGAAGAATGGGGGGGGGGGGGAACTCTCTTTAGAAAGTTTTATCCCAGTCTGTCTTTGATTACTCCTGCCTTTGTGTGTTTGAGATGTTTCCCCTACAGGACACAGTGAAGACACAGAATAAACTAATCATGGTACACAGGAGGGGGCTGTAATAATAGTGACAAATCATCTGACTGTCCAAAGAAGTCTTTCTCGCACTTATTTTATCTTGACATCAAAGAATGCAAAGGGGAGTAAGAGGCAATCACAATATGAGCTGTTTCCAGGGTTGTGTTTTATATGCACTTTTTGAAGTTTTCATCAGATACACAGTACGCTGGCTAAGCTGCAGGTTCCCAGTGGCTATAATATTATCACTACTATAACACTGTAAAATTATTACCATACAAAGAGTATCACATTATATGCTTTCTTCCAATAAACCATTAAGATCCACTCAAACCAGCTTGTAATTATCAAAGGCTTTTAATTAAATCAGTGAAAATGAACCGTACAGTGTGCACAGAGAGGGTTTGAGGTGAGAGTACGATGATGGGAAGAAGTCAGCCTCTGAGATACACAAAGGAATAAAAAAAGGGTGGCAAAAACAAGAACAAAGCGTGTCAAAAGCAAAGAAAATCAAATGTACCAGTCTCTTGAACAAACCAGGCTGGTTTATTTATGCAATAGTTCCACCAGGTGGTTGCATGAGCAAAGTGCAACCCTTGAGGTATTACGGATGGGATCAGCAGATTTCCCCTTCAGTAAACTTCAGCTAGCTTTTCTTGTAAATGTGTCAAATGAACCTTTTCTGTTAAGAGTACCATACCTTCTGCTTTCATAAACTGGAATTACTCCTATTGCCTTCCTATATGCAGAACACTCACCCTGAAAACCTCTGGCAAGAGGATGTGGAAATGTGGAGGATGTGAACAGTGTGACAAACTGTACACAACTTGGGAAACACCGCATTTGTTCTATTTAAAAAAATAAAAAAATAAACAGTGAATCAACTGTTGCATTATGATGCACTGTCACCATTGTGACAGAGTTCTGTTGAAGTTTGATGTCATTTGCTGGCAAGGTTTTGGTTTCCATTTTACAGGAGGGACTTGGTCACAGGGTAGGTTTCACTTTCCGCTGTGGAATGAGGAAGAGGCAGGTCTAAAGTAGTGCAGCGTCTCTGCCCAAATAACAGATGGAGGAAGAAGGCTCGTGTCTCTGTTGTGGAGACTCTAAAGTGAGTGCTAATCTTTTATCTTTTAAATCTTGTAAACATTTACATACAAAAACTGTTAGTGTAATGATGATGTTAGTAATAACACTGATCCTGCTGTATCTAAGTGAAACTGGTGATGACTAGTATGATGACATGTGGGTGTTTTCTCTACCAGGCTGTGATACTGAGAGCAGTATAAGTAAACGCTGGATGTCCTTGAGTATGGATGTTGACATGCTACAAGCATGTTTGTCCAGGAGCTTGTGCTGAAACAACGGACAGAGATACTGCATGCACTGTGCAGCAGTGGGTCAGCTGAGCATTTGGAACAGGTTCTGGACATACTGCTGTCCCAAGGGGAGCTCATATGGGAGGACTATCAGAACGTACAGGTACCTGGCAGGGCACTGTATACCAATGCCAGGCAGTTGCTTGACCTGGTGCGTGCAAAGGGTGTGGATACCTGTGAGCTCTTCCTTGCTGCTCTCAAACAGGTTCTGCCTGAAGCGCAGAGAGCTGACCTCTCTTTTTCAGGTTGCTGTTTAAATTTAGAGGAAAAAAAAGAATACCAGAGCACATCTACTCAGACTCTTCTGACTCAACGACCCAGCCTGGTCAACAAACTACAAGGCTGCATTGATGGTGCTTTAAATGCTCTTGTCACATCGGAATACTTCACCTCAGCAGACTGCGATGAAGTACGGCTTCCTATACACACCCCCTCTCAGCAGGTACTGTGTATGGCACACCTTTTATACACTTTTATTAGAGAAACAGTATGCAAGATTTAGGGGGGTGTAGGGGCATATAGCAGTGAGGACTGCAGGTTGCAATCAGCTGAATCTTCTCCTGGTTAGAATCTCTTCAGTGTTCATTGTTCAGGAGGTTTTTACAGGGAGCCAAATTATCCGCAGAGGTCTCTTTCTCTAAAATGTAAATGGACCAGGTGATTAAAACCTGGTTAGAAACACTGATTAAGGCAGTTTATGTTACAACTCAGTGTTTCTCCTACACGAGCACCTGTTAATCTGTGCTCACCTGTTTTCTCTGATAACTTAATGTGTGTGCTCACCTTATTGATCCAGACATTCAGGAGGTTTTCACCAGGAGCCAAATTATAATTTAAACAGGAAAAAAGTTGAATAAAGCAGTTTCATGTTACAAATCAGTCTTTTTCCAACACTGACATGTCAGGGACGAGCAACTAGCCTAGCACCTGCTAACGTGTGCTCATCTTAATTCTCTGATAACTTAAGATCCAGACGTTAAGGAGGTTGTTATGGGGAGCCAAATTCTCCACAGAGGTATCTCCCTCTCCAAAACAAAAAGACTTTGATTCAAACCTGTGAATGCGGTACAAAGCAGATTCATAGTAAAAAAAAATCTGTGTTTTTTTGATGCTTTACTAGTACTGGGGCTGCCAACATGAAAACATGAACGGCCCAATCCGGAGCCAGAGCTTGTTTGGTTTGTCCAATCTGAGCTACTGTAGAAACATGGCAGTGTGACAATATTTGTAGACAAAGACATGTAGATTTAAATGGCTCATTCCAAGGTAATGAAAATACAATAATTCTTATTTTCAGGTGATTATACTCTCAAGAAAAAAACACATATTACATTATATTTCATTTCTGCCGATACATCCCCCTAAATCCTACACACTGGACCTTTAAACAATGTCCAGACAACTTCCTGTTATTGTTCTTTACCTACTTAGACATGCATGAGGGGAAACAAACAGTGGCTCAGAGCAAGACATGGTAATGCTTGGGCACAGGTTAAAGGCCATAGATGTATAAAGTGAAAGGTGCTGATAGCGAGAGGGAGGCTTACAGGAGGGATGCATGTTTTTGGAGATTGGGTTCAAATCAGCAGTCTTTTTTCAGAATTGCTGACTCCTCCTTTAATAGTCCTGAAATTAAAACTGGTGCTTGATTCTTTTGCAGTCAGTATTTTGTTGTTTTTTTTTTGCTTTAAATAGCTTTTATCCTAGTTTACTCATTTTCTCTCCAAGAGCTAGATAAGAAGATTAATACCACTCTCGTGTCTGTACGGTAAATATGAAGCTAGCACCAGCAGCCTGTTAGCGTAGCTTAGCACATAGAATAGGAACAGCGGGGAACAGTTGGCGTAGCACTGTATACAGGTAACCGTCCCACCTACCAGCACTTAAAAAGGTCACTATTAAACTGGAGTGTTTTCCAGAAAGTTAATGAGACTGACAATGAAGTTCACTATATAACCCCACTGTAACTCTGGATTTGCATGGATTCAACCAACAAGTATGTTAATTAGTGAACTTTAGAGGTGCTGGTAGGTGGATACTTCTACCTTTGGACAGTGCCAGGCTAGCTGTTTCCCCCTGTTTCTATTCTTTGTGCTCAGCTAGGCTAACTGTCTGCTGGTGCTAGCTTCATACTTAGCTTACAGGTGTATCATTTTTTTCATCTAACTCTCTATGAGAAAGGGAATACTTGTATTTCCCACAATGTTGTACTTTTCCTATAATAATAAATCTGTTGTCACTCATGTCAATCAGGCAAGGCGTTTGCTTGACCATGTCAGATCAAAAGGAGAATCAGCAGCGGAGGTTGTACTGCAGTACATTCAACAAACACAGGAATCTGGATCTCCAGGGAACCAGGAGACATGGACTCCTCCCAAAGGCATGTCATTATTATAATCTAAAAAATTATTACAGAATGCAATTACTTAGGGAAACTGTAATAGGAATGGAAACCCATTTCTGCCATTGTGATTACAAAAAGTCAATATAATGAGACCATTTCTCAAAATAATGACTTAGTATCTCAGATACTACATCATCGATTTCAAGAAAGGAGACTTAGTATCTCAAAGTAATAAAAAATTCTCAAATATTGATGTATTTTTTCTTCATTTTAAGATACTACATGAATATTTTAATAGTTTCCAGTAATTTTGAGGCACTAACTCATTGTTTGGAGATGCTTAGTAAAGTAGAAGTAAAATACTTCTCATCATGATCACAATTATGATGGCGTCCATAAATAGGACATTATATGTGAAAGCTATACCTATAGCAGATGTGCATCTTTGTCTCGTCGTATGGGTGATCTGTCTGAAATATACAAAATATCCCTTTTAAAGTACAGAAGATGTGGAGCTCTGGAAATATAACTTGCCTGAAAAAGACTAATTTAAAACTGTGAAAAGACCAGATGTCAGTGTGCCACATTTCAGAGTAACAGAATATATGCAAATATACAGTATGTGTCTAGTTTATCTCATGAGTATGATTTTTGTCACAGAGGTCTTAAAGTATCAGAAGAAGCTCAGCAGCTCGGTGTCTGCTCAGTCCTGCTTTCTCAGTACTTATGGAGGGACCAGCCACATGTCTCTGGATGACATCTACACTGAAGGCCAGCTGGAACTCGGTCATAACACTGCTGATGTCCATGGATCTTTGGGCCTAGAGGACGTAGTTGGTTCAGTGGGTACAGTGAACGAGGAGGCTGACACGGTGCTGGTGTCTGGGGAAGCAGGTGTTGGGAAGAGCACCTTACTCCAGAGGCTGCACTTGCTTTGGGCTCGGGGGGCAGCTCTCCAGGACTTTCTCCTTTTGTTTCCATTCAGCTGTCGCAGGTTGAACTCGGAGCACAAGGAAATGTCTGTCCAGGAACTGCTGTTTCAGCACTGCTGCTGGCCAGACCGGGAGCAGGAGGAGATTTTCCAGTTCATCCTGGACCACCCACATCTCATTCTCTTCACTTTCGATGGCCTGGATGAGCTCAAGCAGAGCTTTTCAGATGAGCACAGGCTCTGCTGCCCAACCCAACGTGCACCTGTTCACACACTACTGTTCAACTTAATCCAGGGCTCGCTAATGAAGGGAGTGCGGAAAGTGGTAACCAGTCGCCCAGAGGCAGTGGGCCCTGTGTTGAAGAAACATCTTCGCAAAGAAGTCCTCCTGAAAGGCTTTTCCCCAAATGGGATTGACTGTTTTGTGAAGAAGCATCACAAGGACTCCACTGTGGCAGCTAAGGTTCTGGAGTCCCTACAGACAAACACGGCGTTACTTGGACTTTGTCATAGTCCAGTCCTCTGCTGGATTGTCTCACAGTGCCACAAGGAGCTGCTAGGCTGTGGAGAGGGCAGCCCACAAACAATCACAGACGTTTACCTTATGATCTTACAGCACTTTTTCCAGCACCATAGCTCGCTGAAAAGCACCATAGGGTTAGGTTGGCTTCAGGAGCATCTAAAAACAGTCTTGCATCTAGGGCAGCTTGCCTTTGAGGGGTTGCGGACCAGCTGTTACATGTTCTCAGACACAGACCTGGAGACATGTGGTGTAACTGAGAAGGATATCTGCATGGGCTTTCTCATACAAAGCAAAGAAATGTCCTCCACCCACAGTAAACGCTATGAATTCCTCCACCTGACTATGCAATGTTTTTTTGCTGCTCTGTATATTGTTTTGTCAAATAACACTGAGCGCGCAGCTATCCCTAAACTCTTTGAGCTGCAAAACATGAAGGAGACAGGTCTGAGCAGCACCTGCTTAATGGCCTGCTTGCCTTCTACTAATCAACAAGAGCAGGCTTCAGACGGAGAAGCTACAGCAGCTGAAACACCAAATCTGCAAATCACAGCCACTTTTGTATCTGGACTACTATCCCAGCATCATCGAAGTCTGTGGCGCCACTGCTGCTCCAGTGCTGTGATGGAGAAGAGGGTCAGACAGGTGGCGAGATGCCTGTCCAAAGGTATGCAGAAACACTTTAAGTCCATCCCTCAAGCCGTAGAGGGGGAGAAGAAGAGCATGCATGCAATGCCAGGTTTTGTCTGGCTTATTAAATGCATCTATGAGATGCAGGAGAGCAGGATTGCTAAAGATGCCATGAGTAAGCTGGAAGTGGACCACCTGAAACTGACCTACTGTAACATTGGTCCTGTGGAGTGCACTGCATTAGCCTATGTGCTCCAGCATTTAAAGAATCCAGTAGGCCTCCAGCTGGACAACAACTCTGTGGGTGATGTTGGAGTGGAGCAGCTTCTTCCCTGCATGCACATTTGTAATTCCCTGCAGTGAGTAGGAAAAGTTTAAATGCTTCCTAACATCTGTTTATTACAATAAACAACACTTACACACTAGCATTTACTGAAAGGCAACAATGCATGTTATGCTCAAGTGTCCTATAATTTTTCCTTTTTCAGTCTCAGAAATAATAACATCACAGATGAGGGGATCCGCAAACTGCTTGCCAAAGGTATCCAGTGTCACAACTTCCAGAAAATTGCGTAAGTGTTGTCCAAATGATTAATTACACTATTGTTAAAGCTGTCGTTGGTAACTTTTAGAAAAAAATGTATTATTTGATGAAACTGTTAAAAATCTGTTAAAAAAAAATCACATTCCTCCTTCCCCAATGCTTCTAATGAGATTTGCAAGAATCCACCGTGCCTGAAGGCAAAATAACCAATCAGAGCCAAGCAGTCTAATGCAGCTGTGTCAGTGGTGTCAATCACTGCTCGTGAACTGTGGTCAAACAGTTAATCTATGAATCAGACATGAATTAAGACAATGTTACTGCGTTGTCTCTTTCTCACCTCAGATGTTTTCAGAAACATATTTTAGTGTACTGTGTAGCTGCAAAATGAGAATATTTGTGACCAGGCAGCCATGTTGAAAACAGTTGAGCCAAAAAGACAACACATTCTCACTCCAACCTCGTCACATATCTACATTTAGTCATGGACTTTCCACATCCAGGTACGACAAAGTACCCTAGGTATGTTGGTTGTTGACGTCCTGGGATGCCGTGTCAACTTCAGCCTGTTACATGCATTGTTTGTTTTCAAAATATACTTCAGTTTTCACAGAAGATGTACAGTTTGCATACAGTCTGCTTCAAAATAAACGCACCAAGTCGGTATAACACTGCAAATTGACGTCTTTTTCCTTCAACATCAAACGCATGTGGTTACATATTGCCAACCAGGGGCGGAAATCCCAGGGGGGACAGGGGGGACATGACCCCCTCTGCAGTAAAGCTGTACCCTCCTAGAATAATTTGAGACACAATTAATCATTTTTGAACAATGCAGTAGTATTTATTGAAAGCACAATGTAAGCGGTGCTCATTATAATCGTGCAATAATGTGCTATTTAAATCTTAAAAGATTTAGTCCCCCCCCTCCCATTCCTAGTAGTGGTATATCACACACTCTTTCCAACAGGCGGGCTAGGCCGGACCCGGCTGCCCACATCGCGCATAGCAGGGTAAGATGTACACTCACACAGACACAATTTAACTTACACAAGTTACAACACATCCCATTTACTGTTACAACAAGCCCCAGGCCCAGGCTGATAATATAAACTGTCTGCAACATTTCTCCTACATTGTTCAAAAGCCAGAGTTTAGTGATAGTCAGAGAGGACAGGAGAGAAAGAAGAGGGAGAGGACAGGACAAGAGCAGTCAGTGGCGGAGCGGCTCGTAGCTAATGGGTACCTGTCTGTAGGCTCCACCTGTCAGTGAGACAAACATGAAAGACGTGCAGTTTAACTGACGAGGAGCGGTCATTACGCGCGACTATTACACATGGTTGTGAGGTGCGCAGCTGCAGATCTCACAGCACACTGTTTATAAACCAGTTTACCAGTTTAATTGCAGGAAATGTTTAGTTAAGCCATTTCTCATAAGTATAGACATTCACTGTATATCCACTTTTCTACATGTGGCTGCTGCTGGCTTGAGTCTCGACTCTCTCGTTATCAAACTTGCAATGCTGAGATAAATGTTGAAAGTCCAAAAAAAGTAATTTATCATGAACAGGTCAATAAAAAAGGTTTCAAAATTCAAATTACCTTGTAAACAAACGAAATATTCAGTATTACATATTTTCTTTGGTTACTTTTCTTTCAAACATTTTTTAAAGTTATGATCTCACTGCCGGTAAAAAAACAAAAAAACAAACAAAACGGTTTGCTCCTGCAGCCAGCAAGAGACGAAGGATCCATTCCACACACCTGAGCCAGAGAAAAAAGAGGGAGAGAAGGAGAGAGATTGAGTTTCTGTCTTTGATGAATGAAGCCTTATTGTTTTGCTGCTATTAAACAATGAGAGACATGTTTTCTCCATTTACTTAATAGCATAAATATTCACACTACTGCACACGGGGAGACAGAGACCTGCTCTGCTCCAGAAACACACAGCACCTTGGACAGCACGGCGCACCTGACTGTTGTCGATGTGTACATGTTAATTTGATTTCAATCATTTTGTTTTAAATCTCTTTAAATCCTGCCTGTTGGAGAGATAGAGAAAAGACTAAAGCGTCAAACTGCGGTAAAAGATGCTGTATAAAAGACAGGCTACAACTTTTTTCCTTGTCCCCCCCTGGAATTATTCTCTAAAATTTTACTGTTGTGTTGGGTAAGGGTTACTTTAAAAGTAATCAAAGTACGTTACTGCGTTACTTTTTAAAAAAGTAACCAGTTACTTTACTCCTGAGTAAAGTAACTCAGTTACTTTAAAAGTACTTCCAACGTTACTCCTTGAGAAAAGTAACTCAAGCACTTTTAAAGTACTTTTGAGTATTCTACATTTCCTATTGGGCAATGGACCACAGGGTGCTAAGCCTACATTTTTTTGTCTCCAAAATTAAAGTTATGGACCACTTGCCCTTCACTGAGATCCAATTCTCCCATCACAGCCGTCACTTTGACCAGTAGAAACACAGAACGACCTGCTGCCGTAGACAACTGTATGGCAACAACACCCCAGCGTTTTTAATATTTCCTCTAGGGATGTTACCACACAGAGTAAAAGGGGGAAATGATGGTGTGAAACAGCAGAGGCACTTTGTCAACCCGCTGAGTTAACGTTATTGTCATTAGCATCAAGCTAGCAAACAATGGTACATCCTTATCCAACCAGCTTCATTTGAAACTGACTACATTATAGACGGTCCGTTATTTATTAATCCCTCTGTGTGTTTATATATTTACTTTTTATCCGCTCCGTTGTCTTTGTAAAGTTAACATATCACACCATCATTTCAAACTCAACGCATGTTTCAAATTAAAAGCCCCTTATAACCTCGGCTGAGAGAATCCCTCCATTTTCTAAATAGGTTTTTATTCTGAAACATTTGTCAGAACTTCCTGTGGAAGATACAGTAGCTTGACAGTTTACATATGGCGCTTCAAATGTAGCTCCTGCCATCTGCTGATGCTTTTAGGTGACTACAACAACATGTCGGCTGGCACATGAACAGACACAGTGACTCAAATAATAGTGAAATAATAGTGGTAACACGATGACATCACACACGCTGTGAAAGACGACCGGGGATAATTGGTGAGTACCAGCGTGTAGCGTGTACCAGGCATAATGCAAGTCCTGAGTCTGAAATATGTCTGTCAGCGAGTCCTACTCCACCTATTTAGACTCCACCGTAGACAACGGCAGCATTTCTCCAACCATGTAGCGAGCCACAAGCTCCGTGGCTTCTTTCAGACTGATAGGTTTAATGTTATCTCCGTTATTAGAACCAAACGACAGCCGTTGCTGTTTCAGAGCTGAAGAACCAGCGTTCTAAAAGTAACTGATGTCTTGTTTGAAAAGGTACTTAAGTATTTGATCACTCAAACAGCAAACTGACGCGTTAGGTTACTCGTTACTGCAAAAACTAATCAAAGTACCGCGTCAGAGTTACTTTGTAACGCGTTAAACCCAACTCTGTTATTGTCCCCCCCAACTATGAAATGGGATTTTTGCCCATGTTGCCAACCCACGTGTGGTTGGGTTTAGGCAAGAAAAATACGCAGTTGGGTTTAGGAATAAAGAACAGGGTTTGGCTTTACAATCTTACAGGAAGTGAACACGGAGCGGATGAAAGTCGGTTGTTGTTGGACCCATCCACCATCCCTCCCACCCACCCTACTAGGACTTTCACCGACTTAACTTTCGTTCTTGTTCAGTTCAGTTTTAAAAGTTACCAACTGTAGCTTTAAGTCACAAATGAGGTTTGATCAATAACCTTTCATAATCAGTTTGTTTGTCTCCAGGCTCTTCAACAACAAGCTAACTGATGCCTGCACTCAACACTTTTCTCATCTTCTGAAGACCAAGCAGGATTTCCTTGCTCTGAGGTCAGCACATACACTAATATTAGCACTCATTAGAGGTTAGACTAAAATGAAACTATAATAACACGCACCATGTAACTTAACAAATTAACTTCTCTATTTTCTGTCAGACTAGGCAACAACAATATAACAGAAGAAGGAGCAAAGCAGCTGGCTGAGGGACTGAAACTCAACCACTCACTGCAGTATTTAGGGTAAAAGCCTCCCTGCAAAATTCCATGCATCTTATTGGTGGTGCATTTCCATTTACCAATCTTTCTTTGTATTTCCAGACTTTGGGGCAACAGGATAGGTGATGCAGGAGCAGAGGCCCTCGCCAGTGCCCTAGAGAACAGCAAAACTCTGATCTGGCTTAGGTAATATTTGCTTTGAATATTGGCACGTTGGCTAGACTTAAGATAGTGTGGAAAATATATTCTAAATATAAACGTATAAGAGATTTCTCACATTTGTGTAGTTGCATAATGACCACAAACAGTATAAAACAGTTGTAAAATACTTTTTTGTAAGTTGCTAGATATACATATCAGCACCTTTTAGTTTGTTAGCAATACATCTGTAGAGTATTTCACCTAAATATAATTCTAAATTGATGTAATGGCAGCCTGGTTGGCAACGGTGTGGGGAGTGCAGGAGCGTGTGCCCTCGCCAACATTATCAAGAACAGTATGTCACTGGAGGAGCTTTGGTAAGTGTTTGAGATGAAAAAGTCATAGCAATACAATGCACACAACATTTGTATCGACCGAATGGCTGATTTGACATTTGAGCGCTTATTGTACAGTAGTGCTTAAATTGCTCCACCCTCTCTCCACCCTCTTATTTCCTGTAAAAGGTTGACACAGAACCAGATAACCAGAACAGGGGTGGAATGTCTGATTCAAGCCCTAGAGCATAATACGCATGTGAAATCAGTATGGTGCGTAATGTTCCCACTGTTTCTTTTGTGGTTTGAATGTGTGCTTGGTGGTTGTTTGCATCCTGGATTTGGGACAAGACAAGGCATAATGCTAGTTTCAGTGCCAGCTGCATTTGATTTTGGCTCAACTACAATGTTATTTTGGCTTTAAGCTTTGTTTCCATTTCCAGACTGGCTGTGCTTTGTCATTGATTGATTTTCTCTTCCTATTACACTGCAGGTTGAGAAACAATGACCTCAGTTTGGAGGAGGTAGAGGAGATGGCACAACGTGAATCAAGACTAATCTTCTGATTGTCTATTAAGTGGGTGAAGGACTGTGTATTGCTTTAAGAACGGTTTCTATTTATTAAAGGAAATATTTTGTATCAAAATGTGAAATATAATGTGTTTGCTCCAGCGTGTTTTATTTTTCTCCTCTGAGGATCAAAATGCAACTTTTCAGGGTTTATCTAAATACACAAAATGCATCTACCTTTATTTTGGGATTAATTTGTTGGTGTGGGTGGTGACAGGATCACATAACACCACCATCACCATTACAGTTGGTGGAATGTGAGGATATTAACTCAAATATGTACTTAAGTGCAGCTGTGAGGTACTTGTCTTTTACTTGAGTATTTCTGTTTTATGCATCTTTTCTACTTCTCTAAATCGTGAAAGCCAATATGTTTCTTATCCTCCACTACATTTATTTAACATTAGTTACTAATTACTTTGTAAATTCAGATTATTAATACAAAATATGAATCCACTAATAATTCTCATGTATCATTATGGAATAAGCTACTTAGCGGTAATTTGGTTGAAATTAGCTCCATCTTTACCAGCTGAGAAAATAAGTGATGTACACATTTATATATCAGTAATTATAATCCAGTAATATAGTAATATATATTATTCTGAAATGGGCCATTGTGCATAATGAGTACTTTTACTTTTGGTAATTTAGGTACATTTTTACACTAATACTTCCATCCTTACACTTTCAGGACCAGTGAGTAGGATTTAGTGGCATGTAGTGGTGAGGTTGCAGATTGCAACCAACTGAATACCTCTTCCCTCACTCCCTTCTTTCCAAGCATGTAGTTGAACCTATGTTGGCCCTCAGGTGGCGTAAACCCCAAAAAGGGCCTTCTCCAGAGCCAGTATTTGGTTTGTCCATTAGGGCCTACTGTGAAAACATGGCAGTGCAACGTGACAGGCTTCCTATGTAATAATAAACTTAATTTGTACAGCACCTTTTAAAATGCAGTTACAATGTGCTGTACAATAAAATTGCACACATTTAAAACACAAGGAGAAGCTATAATCGAGATAATAAATGGTAAATAACATCAATAAGATTGCAATAAAATAAACAGATCAGATAAAGTCAGGATATGTTTTCCAATAGAAGTACGTTTTTAGGAGAGACTTAAACGAAGATGTGATATGTAGATATGAAGGGCTCTTTCTAAGCCAATGAAAATACAACTTAGTTTCAAGTGATTATACACTGATAAAAACATAATTATGAATATTGTATTCCATTTCTCTCAGTAGATCCTCCTACATCCTACACACTGGTTCTTTAAGAAATATTTTGAAAGCAGGACTGTCACTTATAACAGAGTATTTCTACACTAATATCTCTATTTTTACTTGAGAAAAACTTCTAAAAAATGTTCCAACACAGACAATTACTACCACTACTACTTCTAATAATAATGATGATCATAATAATAGAACCATGTACAAATCTTTTGTCTGAAAACAAGAAGGTTGTGTCTACTCATGTTGCATAAGTACATTTCTGATGTAGTTTTATTGAGTACCATTTAAATTTCATGCTAATTTATACTGCTTCTTCATTATAAGGTAGAGGGAAATATTGTGCGTTTTATTGTACTATGTTTATTTGGTAGCTGCACCTACAACTTTCAGATTGAAATTTTAATTTAAAAGATATGATGATCTTAGAAAATATGACACCTCCAAGCAGTTTATGAGGTCTATTATAGTGTGTAGCATTGGTAAATTAGCCTACTTCAACCAGCTGCAACATTGAAATGCTTCATACATATGAATGCATCGTTAATAATAATCAAATAATATGTAACATAACATATTATATAATGTGTAACACGCTGAAAGGGACGAATACTGCATATTGAGCATATAATGTATTGTCGCTTCTTTTATGTAAATAAATATTCCACATCTAAATAATTCTTCTATCACTGCCTGACTAGAGACAGCATCATCTACCCTGAAAGCTACACTTCAACCTAACTATGTCTTCTGCCATTCATGGGAAAACCCCACTGAGTGGGACTTGGTTACAAACACAACAAACAGCCAATCAGCGCTTGAACACTAAGCGAATGACCAATGCCTGTCAGGGAGGGCTTGACGTCATACATTAAGTTTCGTGAGGTCGTCTCCTGTAAATAATATATCTTATAGCTGTAGCGTTACACTGTATTATTTCATGTATTTCCCATGGAGAGCAAATGTATCTAAATGCTGATAGCATACTGTAGAGGGTGGCAGTCCTCTGCCAGCCGGCTCGCTGTCACTCAGCTCGCTGGGCTAACTTCAGCGTGATACTTAGCTGGTTAGGGCGCTAGCATTAGCTAGCCATTTAGCTAATCAGAGGTTATTACGGGAGGATTCTAGCTTGTTGCTGTTTTCGGAGGCCTGTATATACTTGAGATGGACAATTGAAATGACAGCCATCTGTAGCCTGTAACTGAACAGACGCGTAACACAGGTAAGGTGTCCATGTCGTTAGCATTGAATGCAAGTGACTATAAGGTGCTTTTTAGCTGACGGCACGTTAGCTACTTCCCTCTCTTAAAGGGCCTGTGACTGACAGCTTTTGCCTGGTGATGACACACTGCTGCTCTGGTTGTCAGGGAAAATGTTTATGAAAACGAGTCATGATATTGCTGTCAGTGATGCTGACACCAATATAGACAAAATTGTAAACAACTTTCTGGTTGTCATCCTAACGAAAACGCTGTATACATATCAAAGCAGGTCAGTGCTAACCCATCTCATGGTGAATTGCTTTCAGTTTGCTACCTGTGTTGTTTCTTAGCCCTGTGCGGCGTTAGCCATAATGATATTGTTTTAATGGCAATACATTTATACGATGACGTTACATCATATTTCAAAACAACAATATAATAACCAAGTAAGTAATACTGGCTTGACTTTCAAGCATGCCTAAACAAATGACGGATGTAGTGTGCTTTTGACTGTGCCGGGTGGCTGATCATCATATCTGAGGTGTCATCAGGGGAAATCCAATTGTCTGGTATCTGAGTCTTGCCCTGGGTGTCAGAATAAGTCAACTGTCTGCTCACCATCTATTGTTAAGTATATTTAAATCAGTAGGAATGAGTAATTTCACACAAGGTCCTGCTGAAAAACAGTGGCACTGCACAGGAATGACTGGGCAGTAGAGAGGGAGAGTACACAACTGAGACCATCATGAGCTATTAGATTTCTCACAACAAACAACAACAAGCAACCTGGGTTAGAGATCTGTTTATTTAAGTGCAGTGATCAGCTAATCAAGACAAAGTTGCCTTGCAGATTTCAAGCTCTTTTTTGTATCTCTAGTGAGGTCATCATTATTCAGTCTGTGGAGTATTGTGTTTTCATTTATTAAAAAAGCTTTCCCCCACAATTTCAGTTCTTTGTGTGTTGCTCTCTGTGTGTACTTAAAAAAGTGTTTATTTGTTATTTCTTTACTATAGACCACAGGTCAAGCTTGCCTTGATGTTGGACCTCCTGCCTAGCATGCAGCCATGAGCTCTGCCTTGTGGAGCCAGGAGAAGCCCAGCGGGGGCTTCAGGGAGGACTGGCGCTTCTACATGGTCATAAAGGAATGTACAGTGGAGAAGCCACCCCAGAAGACCCTGAGGATCCCCCGTGGCAGTCTCGGTCAGGCCTGCCAGGAGCGCAACAGCCTGGGGCGAACACTGCCCCCATGCAAGGGCAAAAAAAGTCTCCGCATCCTGGACCAGACCAACGTGGTGCTGAGCCTGGACGAGCGGGATGTCCTGGAGCTGGATGAGAAGCTGGCTGAGCTGCTGTTTCCCATTACCAACTGTGAGGAGCGGTATGCCCTTCTCTGCAACAAGTCACGGCTGGAGCGTGTCCGTGATATTGACTGTGGTTCGAAGGTGCGCGTCCAGCTGCGCTCAGGGGATGAACCTCTGCCTGGTGTTGTCCGATTCAAGGGCTCGCTGCTCCCTGACAGAGCCCTCTCTGGAATCTGGTTTGGAGTGGAGCTGCTGGTAAGGACTCTTGTCTTTAAAAAAATGAATTTCACTGTGAGAGATGTTGTTCAAGTTGCACAGTACAAATGTGACAAATTTTCCTCTTAAAATGTCTGGAAATTAACGGTTGAATAGATTTAGGTTTCTCTTGTAATAAAATGACAAAAAGAAAAACAGCGACAACAAAATTGATTGTAATTTTCACCAGAATCACAGCTTGAAAACAAACAGGTACAGATGGGTTTCAATGGCGGGAGTCTAATCATTGCAAACCAGCTGTCAAAAACAAACATGTCCCTACTATCTACATTTAAAACCAGTTACAACACAGGTTGCATGAGTGTCTTGTGCAAATTCCTTTCAGTCTTACTTGAGACAAAAGAAGCAGCCACAAACTTGTTCTTGAAAGTGTGCTGAAACCAGTTGTTTGACCCAAGCATTTTTGAAATTATGTCTCATGCTTAAAGTTGCATCAGGCCTATAGTCCAGCAAATGACAACACACCCTCCTTACTGTCTTTATTTGTTAAAACAGATGTTCAGCCGTTTCTGCTACCCATAGCCTTCATTGGCGAAAGTGCTCATGGCGACTGCAATGCAATGACGTGCTTGTCCTTCTGTTCCTAGTAAATAAGACAGACACTAGTATGTGCATTTGTGAGCAACACCATCATTTGCTGAAGCGTGAGTCTGCTATTGTAAGCTCAATGGATTTTAGTGTCTGCATACGTAACATAGGGAAAATATAATGACAACAGCGAGTTATTTATCCAGGTTGTGCACACGAATGAAAAATGTCTTTGATGTGTGCCTTGTGAGCTTGCACTTGTATGGTTTTGGAAAGTTGATACAACTTTATGCATATGTGGAAGTTACAAAGTAGACCCCAAAAACAAATCAGAGTTTTTGCTGTCTATTGTAAAGCTATTTCTGGTGACTATTTACATCTCGGTCACATCTCGGCACCTTGTGCGTCACATTTGTTTTGACTTGTGGAAAACATGTTGGATTTTTAGTTGTTTGCCTCAAATTTTTTTTAGGTTATGATCAGCAAATCTAGTTTAGGTTTAATGCCATTGTGACATTCCCAAGCTTCAAAGATAGAGACTGGCT